CATAGAAATCGAGAGCGAATAATCTAATTGTTTTAGTAGAATTCTGACTGAAATTAACGCAAATAACGGTTTCCAATTATTTTTCTCCACATTATTGAACTTCAGGCTTTCACAAAATCGTCCTTGGTAATTTTGCAGTTGTTTACGCCCGCGCACCCGATTTTTCAATAATTTCAAGTTTTTAAAGTCAAGAAACCATCAATTTCCTTTTTTCAGTCGTCTCAGGAATTTAATTGTCTATTTACATCTAAACTTTCTTCCAAAACGTCGGAAAAACGATAACAAAGTTGCATTTTGTGGACGATCGACAGCTACTGCACTCTAATGGCTGATAGTATACGAGTAACTTAGCCAATCAGATTGCAGCATTTGAATTAGTATACTAGTAGAATTCTACTAATCAAAGCTAGAATTGGTTTTGAGAGGGCTGCCGTAAAGGTCAGTGTTTTGTTTTTTCAAAATGAATATTTCAGCCACAGGAAACACATGTTCCCTCTTCTGATCTTTAAGGTAACTGTTTCAAAGTACTAAAAGAAAAATGGTCGTTGTCTTCCTTAGAATTCAATGAATTATACATCATGATATCCAACTGTTCACTACCTCCTGGGGGATATTGAAGGCACGTTGCTTTTGGTGGACTGTTAAGCCGCCAACCAATGAAAATGATATTATTCTAACAATATTCTAATAGCTACATGTATGTAGAAGTAGTATTATAGATAAGGTTCCCATATACAGTAGGGTTACTTAGTTCTGCCAACAAAAAATGTCATCTCATCTCTTTACGTTAAGTCCTACGTCAATTCCTGAAACACTGGCAGCTAGAAACTATGTACTGTAGCATCGACTCCTTAAGTACATAAACTAAATATAAAATTATTAGTTACATTTATATTGGAGACACTCAGGGGTTATGGACTTAACAAGAGAAAAGTTTGAATAAAATTTAACTGCAGTGTATATAAAATTGTGAACTGTGCACATGTTGCTATTTAGTTACCTAGTATGTCTAATAAGTCACTTCAGTTCCATTTATTTGTTTGGGCTTTTTTGTTAATTTGCAGACAGTAATAATAATATGGCCCGATGATTCAATTATTTTGAAAATATAAATTGTATGGTTAGAAGTATCTTACTTCGAGCTGGGCTTGTGCGAGTGTTTTTGGTGCAGGCCTTTTCCTTGTTTGGCCCAGCTGATGGTCTACCTGTGCACTGTTTTCAGAACCCTACAAGATTGAATCAAATTAGCTCTATTAGTGGTACAGTGTTTTTAGATTCCTGCAAGGTTGAATCATATTAGCTCTATTAGGAGCTGTTGTTGTCATAGACTTCATTACAATGATCATCAACACAAGTTATGACTGTCATCCAGTACAGTTGGTTAATCCTGGATGACCATAGGTAATACTGTAATTACACTTGCCAGTGTCACTGCTTCTACACTAGCATCCTCCTCCTTTGCCCCTTCCCCCTTCCTTGAGTAATGAATGGTTTTGGAATGATTTTGATGGTAGTACAAAAATTTTTGCATGGTATGCTCATGTGAGCAATTTGGCTGCCAAGTGTTGTTTAAATACAATCAGAGACATATTACCTTGATTGTAACATCAGCAGTGCATATATTCTCAGCTGCCAGACTGACGTCTGTAAAAAGTCATGATAAATAACAAATGTCATAATAATTATTGGAACATTCTCACAATCAACAGATATTTTAAAGCATCTGTTGTGGTATCTAATTCTGTCTTTGGGTAAAATGTTTTGAAACAGTTTAATTTTTATTTCTCACTTCAGATTATGAGTACATAGCAATCAAAAATCCCAGTGCTTTGAAAAAACGTACACCAAAAATAAGTGTGAAACACAACATATACATCATGAAGAAGATGAGGCTGAGAATTTAACTTTACGTTCTATCATATTTCAATATTTGAAGTATGGTACAAATTTAATGTCATACAGAGACAAAATACATGTTTTAAATTGTAGTGTTCAACCTAGGTTTTAGATCTTCCTTGTTTTGACAGTTGTCCATTGTCAGACAAACAACTTGGCAATTAACAATAATAAATTAGTGTACCTGTATATCAGCTTCCATGCTACCCTCAGTTCTGTTTCCTTTGCTTGTCTACCTTTTATTTGGAGCAAAGTAAAGCAAATAAAGTGAACAAATAAGGGAAACAAATGGTATTCTATAGGGTCACACAGCATTGTGCAGTTGCAAAAAAATAAATATTTTGATACCTCTACACTCTTATTTACTGGTATTGTCAGAGCAGGAAAAAAAAATTGGAAATCCAGTTAGCCAGTACATTTTAGGCACACAATGTTCATGCCTTATAACAGGGTTCAGAACCTCTTTCAGAAACAAATTTCCAGGACTTTTCCAGGAGTCAGAGTGATTTTTCCAGGACTCTAAAATTCACATTAACCCTTTCACTACCAAGATCTCATTGTTAATTCTCCTTACTGTCTGCCATACATTTCATTTTATTACTTGAGTTTAACAGATTTCCAGAACTTTCCAAGACCAGTAGCCTTTTCCAGGACTTCCCAGTCCTGGAAAATGCCACAATAAAATCCAGGACTTTCCAGATTTTTAGGACCTGTATGAACCCTGATATCAAATACATGTAATTTTGAACTCAGCTGTTCAGCCTTCTGTTTGTTTGATTCACGTCGCTCCTCTGGCTCTTTACTTGAATTGGCAATGACAAAAAGAAATGCAGAATGTTTACGTTTTTCGTTCTAATTTTGAATCTCCCACATGCAGACTTCTGCTGTAAGCAACACCCAATATGGCCACCAGTATGGCAATCAGAGGACAAACGCGAGCAAAGTATGCTTAGATTTTTTATCACATACGGGGCAAAATTAATGAATGCTGATTGGCTGAGACAGAGGGCATTTTTTTCTTAATCACGAGGGCACTTTTGGTACTCAAGTGGGCATGATTGCTTGATGCTGATTGGCTGAGCACACGTGCATTAAGCTGGTTTCCCACTTCAAACGGATCATTTCATCTTAACATGAAAGAAGATTGACATGCAGCAAAGCGCAGTTTTTTTGCACCCTCGATTTGCAGCGAAAGAATGCCATTTTTCTTTGCGGGATTTTTAAAGAAAAACGATAGCCGAGGTTGATCTAATGTTTTTAGGATAGGGTTGCACCGAAGCGGCCGGGCGAGTTTTGAAGTTTTCTCTGAGTTAACACGTAAGTCGCTTTGTGGAGGTTG